TTCTTTACTTTGTTTATTGTTTTTTTTCATTCATGTGATATCATTCCTTGGTTCAATAGCCGTGTGACATTTTTAATTTGTTTTGATGTTATTGAGAACTGAGAAAAATTCTACTCACAGCTCTATTGGTAAACCACAAAGTGACTACCAAAACATTCCCATACTAGACGTATAGATGCAAACTCCCCCGTTAGTGTACGTTCGATTTTCCCCACATGGTTCGCACAAAGTTGCCCTTTTGGATTCTGCCCTTTTTTTTTTCCATCAGCCTCGTCTGCTCGTTTATTCATGTAACTCTCTATGATGATATTCTGAGTGAATATATGTAAGGAAGTCTTTGTGCTTCTGTGTTGTTGTTTATGAGGTTTTGAAGCGATTTTTTGTGGTTCATATAGATCGATTGCTGTATTTTGAGAGAGATAAGTGTTCTGTACTATTCTTTGTGATTTGGCTGAACATTATTGTAACATTAGTTGCCATTTTTGGGCGTTATAGTGGAATTGAGCATAATCCAACTTTTGGATGCTCAACGGGGAATGTAAGTGTTAGAAGGCCGAAATATATCGATTGTGTTCATTTTAATTTTCTGCACTTTATTTCAGAGAAGGTTTGGTATTTTTGTTTTTTGGTCTAGTATTGTGTGTTCTTGGCCTAACAGCATCTTCATGATGACGGGTCGTCACTACTAAAAATAAGCTGGTAAAATGCCCTGCCTATATAATATTTTTTACACTGATATTCATAGATATGCATTAAATATGACCCTCTTATACTTCAGAAAAAAATTTCCAAAATCTTTGATGTCAGAGACATTATTTCTTTTAGAAATGGAGAATTGATATTTTTGGGATGGAAGGAATAGTAGACAAGTAGAAGACCAATTATAATATAAAAAAGTATAATTACAGTCTTCATTGCTTTATTATTATTAGTTATTTCTAAAAAAAAGTTGTAGATAAAAGGTATCTATTTGTTCTAAATTGGAGGAGAACAACATTTAAGATCCATTTGGCTTTGGCATGGTTTAAAAAAAAAAAAAAAAATGCTTTTGAGATCTAAAAGTTGCTTTCAAATCCGTTTGGCTAAATTTATGAAATGTTTTTTTTTGCAGTTAGAATAGCTTTTCCAGGAAGTTGGTCAAATGTGACTTCTTCTAAAAGTACCTCCGGAATAGGAAATGCTTTTAAAAATTGATTTCCAAACAAAATTTAAGAAATTAAGCTTCTTTCAAAAACTCTTCTATAGGAAGCAAAATTATAAAAGTAATGCCAAACGGACCTTTAATACATTCTGAATAGAGACCTCGTGACTTTATGGAAATGAATTTAGTTGCACTTATTTTTCGGATGAATAAAAACTGCATGAAACATATGATTCAGCTTCTATACATTAATGATCGAATGTATACTCTTTTTCTGTCTCTTAACTCTCTCACTGGGATTATGCATATTTAAATCATTATTTCTCTTAAAAAGTCTTTGTAATATCGTACTCAATATCATTCTCTTTGTTATAAATCAATAGACGAATGGAACAAGACTGAACTTTGTTAACTTACAAGCTGCTTTAACTTCTCTTGGTGATGAAAAGATCACTTGATAAGATGGAGGATGCTGCCTTTTGTAAAACTCAAAAACTCTCTGGCTGATAAAGAGGAGTTATAATATATGCCTTCTGAGTTTTATATTGTTTTCAGCAATTGTCCAAGAGAACAAAATCTCTAAAGCATGCAATACTATTGGATTGATATTTCTCGTTCCCTTTTCTATCTCTTCAACTGAATCTATTTTATGTTCTGGCTCTCATTTTATTTGTAGTATTT